TCCTGTAGCAATATTTACTGGTAACATGTCACTTTAAAAAGGTTTAATAATAATGCATTTCTTAGTACTAATTTTTATTTATAGGAGTTTAGAATAGTGAATATTCCGGTCACTTTTTATTCAAATTTAAGATCTTGATAATGGTAAAACAAAGTTATAAATTTTTCAGGGTTATGGGGGGGAAAGTTCCTCCATATATTGTGATTTTCATTTGTACACAAATTAGGGAAATGACATTGCTGTCAGGGTTTTTAAAAAAAATCCTTGCCTTGTCTGATATGGCTCAGTTGGTTGAGCGTCAGGAGTCTCGGGCACTGAAGGGTCACTGATCTGACTCCCAGTCAGGGCACATACCAGGTTGCAGGTTCCATCCCCATCAGGGTGCATGCGCAGAAATTGATATTTCTCTCTCACATAGATGTTTCTCTCTCTCTTCCTCTCCCTTCTTCTCTCTAAAATCAATTAAAATTATTTTTAAAAAAACAATTGAGGAAAGATTCATCATCAGCATTTTTTAAAAAGTCCTTTTAAAAAAAGAGAGATTGTGTTTGTGTACTATTTTGAGTAGGGATAGATTTTCAGTGGTATTTGAACATTTAATAGAAACACCTGGTTAATAAGAAAGACATGTTGAATATAATAAACTAGTTGCAATCTGTGACTAAAAACATGTTTGAAGTAAAATTGAACCTCTTTTAGACATAAGCAAAGTTATTATTTCCTCCCATAGTACATCTGTTTAGGGCTGGCTGACTAATCCTTTAAGAAGTTGCTGAACTTCCTCCAAGTGCTGAAAACGTAATTCTGTTTTAAAAATAGCTATGTGTAATTTTATCTTCATATGTGTATTTTAAATGTTTAACAAAAAGGTAATTATTTTTGTAAACTAATGATTTCTTAGACCCAAACTCCAACTGAGGCCTTTTATATATATCTCCTGGGAAAAATAGTCCATAAGAGTACAAAGTTTGTGGGAAGAGGCTTTGGTTTTCATTTTAATTTTTTTAAATTTCAATATAGTGTTACTAGTGTTTGTATCTCAGACATGTGAAATAGGAAACTTCCTTTTCTGAACTATAACAATAGTTGTTGATACAGTAGAATCATAGTGGCAGAGTCCCATCCATAGTGTCCTATTAGGTAGAGTCCTACCATGAAACTCATTAGCTTGTCTGAGGAATCTTGTACTAATTACTTCACTAAACCAGCTCACGAAAATGAAATGAATTATGCTGAAAATACATTTCAATGTGAAATGAACATTATAAGTGATCTTACTAGTAAAGCTTCTAATTAATTTCTATGTTGTTTAAATTCTTTAATTTCTTTGAACCCAAATGTTAAACACAACATTCAGACACAATTTATTGTAAGTGCTGATGACAAAAGGAAAAAGAACAGCCCGGGGAGTGGTTCTCTTGATAGACTTTCTTTTTCTTTGCTGTGCTGGATTTCTTCACTTGGTGCCCGCACTTTCCCATAGCAGAGTAGTTAAGTGCAAGTTTCTCAAGCCAGACTGGCTTCTTCCACCATCCCTAGCTTGGGCAAGTTACTCCTTTGTGCCTTCATTTCTTCGTCTGTGAAATAAATAATATCTGTGTTTCAGGTCTGTGGTGAAGGTTAAGCGAGGAAATAACTTAGAGATCACTGAGAACACAGTCAAGCATACAGTAGGCACCCCAAACCAAAAACGCCTGCTGTTCTCACACTTCTCCCTTCCCCCTTTCCTCTGTTTCTGCTGTCGCTCCCCTCAACCTCCATGCTGCCAACTCATGTGTTTCTCTTTATGATTAGACAACCAATATTAATACCTTTCCACTATGGCTTAATCAAATTTTACCCTATTTTAGTCATTTCTTAATATAAGAGTTGCTTTTCCCACATGGTTTTTAAAGAATACTTTCAACTTCTGTGTTTTGATTAGGTTCACAGATTTTTTGAATTTTCTTCCCATGATAGTTTCCATGAAATGAATTCTATTAGTTATGTTTAAAATGAATGAGAAAAGAATACCTATTTAGTTAATGTGGTGAAACGAAATGATTTGTAATGGTCGAATACCTGTCATCAAGGTATGTCTTCTAGCACTAATTCTGGCTTTGGTAGTGTGTAGGCCAGAACCACTTAACTATAACCATGGCACTTATGGATGACCCTGTTACAGCTATTAATTTATATTACAATATTGGTGTGTCTTGTATTAGGAGTGTATGCTATGTATCAATGTCAGCAAATATCACTTACAAATTCTTGCTTATGACCTGTCTCTAAGATGTCTTTAAACACTTCCTTATGCCATTAATAGAAGACATGAGACAAAAGGTGTGACAGGCAGCTTTTTGATCGAGTGAACCTTTTGGTTAAAAATCAATGGATATGTGAACTTTCTTATTGATATCATATCTTTACTAGTAAAATTTTTTCCAGTTTACTTTACTGAGCTGATTGTTCTTTTCATGTGAATCTAATGAAGATGTATTTCCTCACTTAATGTATATTCTTGTTTCCTTTCTGTATTATATATAATATATTAAGGTGCTAGTCCTTGCATGAAAGTTTACTTGTAGTTAAAAAAAAATAATTTAGTGGAAAGTATAGTGTCTTTCTTTGTTTTACTTGCTTGGTCATGAGTTCTGTGGTTCTGTAGCTCTTAAAACAAGCACCAGCAGTCTCTAAGAAGCAGTATTTTGCTTGTCTTATCATATATTTATATCTTGTATGCTGAGATATTTTTTTGAGAGCGAAATGTTTATATTTCTTGAAATATACATGATTCTTCAGACTGGAATCTAATGAAATAGGACACCCATTTGAAAACCAAAGAGTTTAGGCTACAACAGAGGATAAAAGTGATCAAATGATTAGCCAGAGGCTAATAGAAATTCTGGGAAGAATGACAGATTGTATATTAGAAAGAAATATGATCTCATATTCATTGAAGCTTTTTACAGCTAAAGATCTAAAAGAAATAATAGAAAATTACTGAAATAGATGAATGTCTGAAACTTTAGAAATCCATGGAGTGTTGGATTAATCCAACCAAGAAAGACTGATGGGCAGATAATAAATTACATTGTGTAGGAAGTCTGCATTCCTTGTTTTCAAGGTTGTTTTTTTTTTTTTCCTGGCAAGATATATTTAAGTAGCTCTAGGCCAGTTTCAGAAAATTCCGTTCATGATTTTTATTATCACACCATATGTGTATGATTCTTTGGAATAGATATAGTATTATAAACAGAGACTTCAGATCCTTGAGTGGAAAAAATTAAACCTTCCTTCTGTACCAGATTAATAGCAAGTGTTTCCTTATGAGAGTGTAAGCAATATAGAACACCTTTTCTTGTACAATCCCATAAGTAAAGGAGAGTTTGAAGAAATATACTGTACTGCTGCCTGGAAAAAGCTGTACTTCAAGAGCTGTCCTTCTGCCGGAGAAAACAAATGGTCGTAAACTGGAAAAGGTGTATATGTACATTTTCATTACAAAGAAGTGGGTACTTACTTAACTGTTCCAAATTTTACTTTGCCATAGGTACATGTTATTTTACTTAAAAAATTGAGTGTATATTTGTGTGTATAATTATTGCCTATTTCATATAAATTTATACACAAAGTAGTATAGAGTCTTTTTTTCTCTCTCCAGGTTTAAGTGATCACACAGCATTATAATAATTATTCAGGCCGAAACCGGTTTAGCTCAGTGGATAGAGCGTCAGCCTGCGGACTGAGGGGTCCCAGGTTCGATTCCGGTCAAGGGCAAATAATTATTCAGGAGTTCAGCTACTTTTAAATATGTTGATTGAGAAATATATATTCTTCTTCTTAAACTATTTGAACCTTTTAATCAATTTCCCCCCAGATTTTTGCCATGAAGGCCTGGCATTTATTTGTGTTCTTAGTTTTTGTAGGTTTAGGGAGAAAGTGAAGTGTTTCCTGAAATATCTATATTATAAAAGGCCAGAGGCCTTAATGCTGTAATGACCAAATGACCAGTCATCAGGAGGTGCATGGAGCATCTCTCCGGCCCTCCCTCCACGCTGTCCCCCGCATACCCCTCCCCCTGGGTGCCAGCAGCGTCGGCAGAGCATTGTGGGGCCCTGGCAGTGTCCATGGAGCTTCGCGGGGCACCAGCAGCATCTGCAGAGTCGCGGGGCAGCGGACATGGCCCTGATGGCAGGCTAGGCCTAGGGGACCCTACACATGCACAATTTAATCGTGCACTGGGCCTTTAGTATATAAATAATAAAATTAATGTACACTCTTTATTCTTCATGGAAATACTCTTGTTGGCTCTTTTTTCTTCCTTTCTTTTCTTTTCTTTTTTTTTTTTTTTTTATTTCTTTTGTTGATTTTTTACAGAGAGGAATTTTTTTTCTTTTTTTTTTTTTTTTTTTTTTAATGAGCAAGTGGAAGGGCGGGAGGGAGGAAGAGAAAGAGAGAGAAACATCAATGTGAGGGGGAAACATCGATTGGTTGACCCCCGCACTCACCCAACCAGGGCAGGGAACCTGCAATCCAGGTACATGCCCTTGACCTGGAATCAAACCCATGGCCCTGCAGTGCGTGGACTGACACTTCAACCACTGAGGCACACTGGTCAGGGCTCTTTCTCAATATATACTTAACCTATGGGGGAAAGAGAGTATTTCTCTGTGAAACTGTAATTTTGACTCCAGATCACCTGGGTTTCTATGTACTTAAGCATTTAAGCTTAATTATTTGCCTTGAACTTGAAATGTAAGCAAAGGATACTTAATGAATTTACAATTATTCTTCTCTACAGAGTTATTTATCTGCATTCCCAGTATATAGATCTCTCTCTCCATATATATGTGTGTGTGTGTGTGTCTGTGTGTGTATCTTTGAGGACAGTGCAGTATAAGTTAATCTTCTACATAGCCCTAAATAGATACCTGTGTTTCTGGATACATTCTTCTTTAAGTGATAGAATCTTAAAGATGATAGAATTCTAACAGGAATTCTTTTTGTTCTTTTTGCAGCTATGTCATCTTATCTTTTAATTATTAAGACAGAGCTACCTGCAGCTATTTCAGAATTTTTGTCTGGAGACTATAGTGGGTAAGAAAAAATACTTCACATGTGTCCACTTATTTACTAGTTCAATAAGTATTTATTAAGCTAGTGGGAAGTAAAACAAATATAGTCTCTGCCCACAAGACACTTACAGATTAGGCAGGGGCAGAGCAGTCATGGAGGAGAAAACGCTCAGCAGACGTTCATTGGTGATCCATTATGTATGAAGCACTGAGCCACGAGCCCTTTGAAAGGCCAGATGTAACCCTTACAGTCTGTGAGGGTGGGATAGGGCAGGACAGGTTTGAGCTAGATCTTAGAGAAGGGTAAAGGAGAAATTTCTGGGGATATGCAAGATTGTGATGGGGGAATGGAGAAAAAGACTAAAAGTACTGAGAGTAAAGGCCAGCAAAGAATGGAGTGGATAAAACCGCTGTCAGTTTTCAGCCAGCTATCATGATAAAGATAAATCATATTGATAAAGTTACAGCCATACTTATGTGAGATTCCTATTATAAAGCATGATTTAAAAAATTATTTTCAAAGATTGTTTTTTAACAGTGTTATAAACAGTACTAAACCACATCACACCCCCTTTTCTCCTTATTTTAAAAACACTGTGCTCTAAAGACTGTTGACTCATTTCTTTTTGTAGGGGAAAAACAAATTAATTATACTTTTCCTTTCACTACATAGAACAAGGAATTTTGAGAAAAATAAACTTAAAAAGACAGAATACATTGTTTTGTCATCAAGTTATTTTACATAATTTATAAACAACAACAACAACAACCTGTCAGACTTTTAGATTTAAGTATTTGGTTGTTTTGCTCTAATATTTGAACTTGATCTGAATTAAAGAGCAAGTTTTCAAAATGTAGTTTTTAGCTTTTACAACTTGGCTTATATGAAAGAATTCTTAGATAACTGTAAATACATATTTATAAGGAAAGTATGTATTCTTTATTTTTTCATCAAATTTATTGGGGTGACATTGGTTAATAAAAAGTATGGTATATTTTACATCTAACTAAGAACTGTCAAGAAAATGTGGTTGAAAAAAGTTCTTAATGATGTTTCATTATCAGAAATATTATGCCTTAATATAGTACTTTATTAGTTCACAAGGTTTCCTCATTCATTATCACATTTGATGCTCACCAGTACCTTTTTTTATCTACAGCTTTATACAGTTACTTGTAATTTTTATGATCTTACTTTGATAAATAATTCCCATAATAAATAGCTATGTGGAAATCACTTTTGTACTTGCAGTAAAAATATTGCAGACAACTTTTATTACTCAAAAGTACTATGTGATAAATATCTTTTATAATTCAGGGCTAAGAACTCTAGGCAATATGAGGTAAAATGAAGAATGTTAAACCAAGAATAAGGAGGTGTGTGTCCTACCCATTTCATATTCAGAAGCCTCAGGAAATTAACTTCTTTTCACCATAAAAGACTTAGGTTTCTTCATTTGCTATAATACTGTCAGTACTATATTGCCTTCTTAAAAAAGTTGTTGGGAAAATCAAATAAAATATTGTACGTATATGTGCTTTTGTAAGTTGATAGCATAGAGTAAATATGCAGAATTAGAAGAAAAGGAATTTCAATAGTGACTATATTAAAGATGATTTTTTTCTTATTTGCTCTGCTTGCCAGGAAGGTCAGAGTCAAATTTGAATGTTAATCCTGATAGTTGTCATACATGTGTTTTCTTTCTTTTCCTTGGTCCTGAATTGGGTCACTTCTATACACATTTTAAAAAATGTTTTTTATTGATTTCAGAGAGAGAGAGAGAGAGAGAGAGAGAGAGAGAGAGAGAGAGAGAGAGAAATATCAACGATGAGAGAGAATCATTGATTGGCTGCCTTCTATATGCCTCCTACTGGGAATTGAGCCTGCAACCCGGGTGTGTGCCCTGACTGGGAATCAAACTGTGACCTCCTGGTTTATAGGTTGAAGCTCAACCACTGAACCACACCAGCCGGGTATATTCACAGTTTTTTATTGTTATATGTGTTTGTGCAAAGAGGAAGAATAAAAATACGTATAAAATTAAGGTAGTATATTACAGAACTGATATTAAAACGTAGGTCTTCTTTCTCTAAAAGTGGTACTTTTACCATAGCTTCAGTTTAAATCAGTTGCCATTTAATTTTTTTTTTCTGGCTTGTTTAAAAAAATAAAAATTGACTCCCATCTCACTTATATTAATAGAAAATTGATAAAAATGTTACTTTTACATGTCAGACATGAACTTTTAAAATTATATACTTCAAAATACTGTGTCCAATTTTCATAATCTCTGTTATGATGTTTTAAAATTGCATATTTAACAGCTTTAATGTTTAAAATCTAATATATATTTGCTTATTTTGGATTTCAAATTTTTGAAAAAATTAATACAACTAATTATATTGGTTAGCATGCAGATAAATCATTAGTTTTTAAAGCTTAAAGCTGTAAGTAATTAAGAAACAAATGATATGGTAACTTACTTAACTATCTAGGGTAGTTTATTTCTGGATAGAGTTACATAGCACTATTTCTTCTATGAGATCAATATGATATTGACATGCTTTTATTTTAGAGTTTGACTTACAGTGACTTGCAGTTAAGATCTTTTAAGTGAGCTTATTTTCTGGGTTGTCTGTGAGATGTGATGTACCTTTGTGAAACATAAACCTTTACAAAGATGTTATTAAAAAGAAACTTTATGTTCATAATATTCCATTTTCAAAAATTACTTTTAGAAGTCAGAAGCTATAATACTTATACCAAACTATTATGAGACACCTATATTTTTCATAGAATAGTTTCTATTTTAAAAATCTATGTCTGTTAAAATGTGGAAGCTCTCTGTTAACATTTAATGATCTTGTCAGGGAATATGATTGACACAATTAAGTTGTCTTGCATTTGAGTTACAAAATTGATATGGGATGTGAGTCAGATCCTAATTCAGAACATATGATACTCTTGTTCCATTCCATTCGAGAATGAAATTAAAGCAACTTATAAATAAATCTGGTTTTCATTAAAATATGGGGGAAAAAAGTCTGCATGCCAAAGCATTTGAAATATAGTTTAGGATTTATACTCTATATTTCATAGTTGGAACATTTTTATCATACAGGATTAAATCCACAGATCAAACAAGTTTTCCAGGAGGTATAAAACTTTTTACTCTAATTCTGTTAGCTTAAAGAGAAAGTATATTTATATATCACAGTAGGAAAACAGGAGTTCTGTTAGATAATTCTTTGTTCTCCCTCTCAGATTTAAGATTAGGGTAAATCTAAAATCTTGATTTATAAAATGTACTTATTTAATGTGTGCTTTTTGAGATTTCTTTTTACTGGTTTGTATTTTATAAGTTTAAACACTTCTGTTCTTTGGCAATATTCCTTGGAAAGAAAATTCAGTTGACTGACATGCATGTGAAATGTAAACTAACTTTACTGAGCATTACTGTATTGCCTGTATTGTCAGCATTATGAATATAACTTAATAAGGGTAAGAAATAATTAATAACCAGCAGCCAAGCAGGGATAGAGAAATTAATATTTTGAATACAGTTTTTTACATTAGGAATTTGAAGCCAATCTGGTAAAGAGGTGAATAAAGAAGCACAATGTTGAGAAAAATGAAGCAATATCTGAAAAATACAATAAACTCAAAGTGACTCCTCAAGAGTAGGGAGTATTTCCATTACTCTATCCCTAAGATCAGCATTGTCTGTTTGCTGATTCTAATGACGTATGAGATGAAGTTGTTGAGCCAGGTGATCTGTGAGGTGCTGTGACTGATTCTGAGTTACTGCTGGGAGGGGTGAAGTTATCTCAGACCTCAGTTCAATCCTATGGGCAGTCATGTGGCTTCTCTGATGAGTGAAATTGTGATTTGAAATAGTATAACATCATACAGTATAATATAATGGTATAAATTATAAAGTTCAGGATTCCGAAGTGCTCCTTTAGGCAACAGATCAGAGTCTGGTCCTGAGGATTAAGGTGCTCCCTTCGCTGCTCTACCCTCCTGAGGGCAGGGACTGCAGGACTAACCGCAGGATCGGCCTTGGTGCTGCTCTGGCCTCTCCTCCCGGCGCTGCCACTGTCTGGGTCTGACTGAGTCCCAGAGGAAGGAGATTTCAGGCCCAGAGCCCTGGGCTCTTTGCCAGCTTAAGAGTTCAGTTGCCAGGTGTTCTTCAGTGAGGGATATTTTGAAGTTTCCACTCTGATACTACCTATTTAAGAGTGGCGAGAAGATGAACGTGCCAAGTATCATTTGTATTGTTAATATGTGTCCTCTCTTAGGACCTCCTGCATACCAGGAATTGAGGGGCATGTGAATGAAAATGCAGAGAGCACAGCTTCAAGCCATTAGATCTAGAAATACGTGTACATAGGCTTTAGTTTCTGGCACTTGCATTTTCTAAAGACATGAATTAGGGTGGAGAAGGGAAAGTTATGTTCACAGTGCTAGTTATTTTTTATTGATTTCAGAGAGGCAGGGAGAGGGGGAGAGATAGAAACATCAATGATGAGAGGGAATCATCGATTGGCTGCTTCCTGCACACCTCCCCCTTCGTCCCCCCAACCCCCACACACACTGGGGATCAAGCCTGAAACCCAGGCATGTGCCCTGGTCAGGAATCAAACTGAACCCACTGGTTCATAGGTCATCAACCACTGAGCCACACTGGCCAGGCTTCACAGTGCTATTTCTGCTATTGCTCCTTTTCCAGTCCTGTTAAAGAGGAAGTTGTCAGTACCCAATAGTATCCATTAAAGATACATAGAGAGGACTTCCTCATAAATCAGGGTGTAAAAAGAGACACAGTGAATGAATCATGAAGTCCATGTTAGAAGCTAGGGGTTGAAACCATGCAGAGGAACACCTTTTCTCCTATTTTCTTTCATTCATTCATTCATTCTTAATTGAGATAAATTGACATATAACATTGTGTAAGTTTAAAGTATACAGGGTGTTGATTTGATACAATTATATATTGCAAGTAGAGGCTTGGTGCATGCATTTGTGCATGGGTGGAGTCCCTCTGGGTGGCCTGGAGGGATCAGGCTGAAACCCTCAGTCCAACGCTTCCTGCAGCTCCTACAAGCCTGAAAGCTCATCCTGGCCCCACTGTGCCTGCCGCAGGCTCGTGCCCAATCAGTCCCGATTGTGAGATGCTCACGCTGCAGCAGCAGCGCTCACCAGCCATGAGTCTTGCATCTGGCACCCTCTCAAGGGTAGTGGCCTGTGGGATCAGGCTGAAACCGGCCCTCTAACATCCCCCGAAGGGTCCTGGATTGCGAGAGGGTGCAGGTCAGGTTGAGGGACCCCACCGGCGCACGATCAGGCCAGGGAGGGACCATCGGAGGGCTCCAGGGCATGTCTGGCCCATTTCACTCAGTTCGGATCGGCTGGACCCCAGTAGCACGCTAACCTACTGGTCAGAGCATCTGCCCCCTGCTGGTCAGTGCATGTCATAGCGACAGGTCGACCAATTGACTCTCTGCCCCCTGGTGGTCAGTGCACATCATAGCGAGAAATAACAGTCTCAATCCCTATTTGACTTTGATAAATCAAAGGAGCATGTTGTAATCCTGAGAGATTATTTAAGACTAGAAGCCTGGTGCACAAAATTCGTGCATGGCGGGGGGGATTGTCCCTCAGCCCAGCCTGCACCCTCTCCAATATGAGACCCCTCGGGGCATGTCCGACTGCCGGTTTAGGCCCAATCCCACAGGTTGCCCCCAGCTGCCCTCCCCTGCCAGCCTGGTAGCCCCTAATTGCTTTCCCCTGCTGGCATGATCACCCCTAACTGCCTCTGCCTCGGCCCCTGCCACCATGGCTTTGTCCAGAAGGATGTCTGGATGGATGTCCGGTCTATTTAGCATATTACCCTTTTATTAGTATAGATATGATTACCACAGTGGTGTTATTTAATGCCTCCATCATGTCACATCATTATCATTGTGTTTTGTGGTGAGAACATTTAAGAGTTAGCCTCTTAGCAACTTTCAAGTACATAATGCAGTACTGTTAACTGTAATCACAGTGTTGTGCATTAGACCCCCAGAACTTACTCATCTCTAACTGCAAGTTTGTACCCTTTGACCAACATCTTGGTTCCCTTAACCCCCAGCCTCTAGGAATCACCATTCTTCTCTGTTTCTATGAGTTTAGGATGTTTTAGATTCCACATATAAGTGATATACAATATTTGTCTGTTTCTTTCTTATTCATCTTAGTATAATGCCCCTAAGGTCCATCCATGTTGTCACAAATAATAGGTTTCCTTCTTTCTCCTGGCTCAATAATATTTCATTATATATATCACATCTTCTTTATCCATCATCCATTGACAGACACTTAGGCTGTTTCCATATCTTGGCTATTGTGAATAATGCTGCAATAAACATGGGAGTGCAGATATCTTTTCATTTCCTTTGGATATATGCCCAGAAGTGGGATTGCTGGGTCATATGGTAGTTCAATTTTTAGTTTTTTGAGGAACTTCCATATTATTTTCCATAGTGGCTGAACCAACTTAAAATCCCAACAGTACACGAGGGTCCCTTTTCTCCACATCCTGGCCAACACTTATCTCTTGTCTTTTTGGTGATTCCTATTCTGATAGGTGTGAAGTGTTGTCTTATTGTGTGTTGATTCTTATTTCCCTGGTGATTAGTGATGTTGAACACCTTTTCATGTACCCATTGGCTATTGGTATGTCTTCTTAGGAAAGATGTTCATTTTTTTCTGCCCATTTTTAAATCAGATTATTTTTTATTTATTTTTTATAATTGAATTATATGAGTTTTTTTATATATTTTGGATATTAATTCCTTGTCAGATATATGGTTTGCAAATATTTTCTCCCATTCTGTAGATTGCTCTTAATTTTGTTGTTTCTTTTGCTATATAGGTTTTTAGTTCAATGTAGTCCTACTTAATTTTGCTTTTGTTGCTTGTGCTTCTGGTGTCATATCCAAAAAATTGTTGCTAAGACATCAAGGAGCTTTCCCTCTATGTTTTCTTCTAGAAGTTTTATGGTTTCAGATCTTACATTTAAGTCATTAATCTATTTTGAATTAATTTTTGTGAGTGGGAATTGAACTCTGACCTCCTGATTCATAGGTCGATGTTCAACCATTGAGCAGCCACATCGGCCGGGCTCCTAAATTGTCTTTTTAAAAAGCTGCTTAATATCCCATTGAGTATGCTGTTATCGATATTTTTCTATTGTTGGATATATAGGATTTCCCCCAGCTATTTAATACTATAATGATGTATTCATAGCTTCATGCACATAGAATTCTTTATATTTAAGATTATTTTTGAGACTAAATTACCACATTTGCTTTGTTCTTGCTACATATTATCAATGTTTTTCCAGGAGATGGAGCTAGATTGACAAAGTCACTGGCAACATATGAAGGGCCAATTATGCTACATCTTCAGATTTTATGTTTAAAATAATTTTAGTGCCCAGCCAGGTGGCTCAGTGGTAGAGCATTCATCTGTGAACCTGGAGGTCACAGTTCGATTCCTGGCCAGACCACATGCCTGGGTTGTGGGTTTAATCCCAGTGTGGGGCGTGCAGGAGACAGCCAATTTTCTCTCATTGTTGTTTCTCTCTCTCTCTTCCTCCCTGAAATCAATAAAAATACATTTAAAAATAAATAAAAAATAAATTTACTAGTTTAATTTCAACAGCCTCATTATTTCTTTAATTGCATTGGATTTTTCTTCATGTGTATTTACTAGGTATACTTCTTTCATAAGTTGTTTGTTGTTTACATACTAAAGTCTCTAGTATTAAAGTCTTGGGAAATTTGTTCTAACTTTTTAAAACTTTTATAAGATATTTTATATTGAAAAATTAAAAGAACGTATATGCAAACAAGGAGAAAATAAAATTGCTCATATTGTTACCACACAGAAATATCTACTTTTTGTATTTTGAGTATATCCTTCTGATTTTTAAAAAATGTGCATCCACTTTTTAAAATAATTAAATATACCATCCCACTTTTTAACCTACCTTTTCTAATTCAACATTCTAATGACTTGTGAAAATTTTAATACTTTTTTTCTGATAATCCATGTACTTTCCTGAAAGTTTGAAAACTATAAACTACAAAGAAGAAAAATTACCCATTATTCTACCGCCTAGAGATAATGTCTATTGATTTATTGCAATTCCTTTCCATTTTTAATGAATCTGTATTCTTCCACAAAATTATAATCATGCTGTAAATATTTATTATGTTTACTGAATATTCATTATTATATCTATGAAGTGATCTTTTATGAGTATCCCATAGTTCCATAATTTATTTTTAAATTGTCATGGTATTAGGTTTTTTTTTCCAATATTTATTATTATTTTCACCAGTTTTGTACACTCATTACTCCTCACCAACATTGCCTATCTTATTTTTTAAAATTATTTGCTAATTTGGTACTTGAAATGGCATCTCATTATTTTGATACATTTCTTAAATGTAAATTCATTAATAATAATATTAGGGTCCCACAAGAACATATCTAAACAAAAGGAAGTAGGCTTTTTGTAAGTGTGTGTGTGTGTGTGTGTGTACGTGTACACAAACACTGGAGTCCTGCGCCTAAAATAGAACTATTTTTTTTCTAATAGGTCTTGGTATCTTGATGAACAAACACTACTAATAATCATTTGTGTTGTCATTGTGTTTCCTCTTGCTCTTCTTCCTAAAATAGGTAAGTCTTTGTTGAAGAGAACATTATTTGTTTAAAATAAAGTAAAAAGAAAGAAAGAAAATAATATTAAGGGGCTTTGGAAGTTCGCAGTACACAGTTTTAGCAGAAGGGTGGTGGTTGTGCATAGTTTTGAACTTGGACTTATTTTAGGTTGTTCAGCCTTCAGCCCTGTCTAGTTAACCTATTACTTGGTTTGCAGTAGTATTTTGTCTGCCCCACTAAAATAAAATCTTTACAGTGGAACATTAAAGGGCAGCCTTTCCTTACAGTGTACCATTAGTGGTAAGCCAGTTCCAATTCTGCCGTACAGAGCTACATAAATGATCTGTGACAGATAGTTGGAATGTTGTTATTCTCAGTCCTAAGCCCCAGATACCAAGCACTGTAATAGAAAACATGCCCAAGATGTATAGCTTTAGCTGTACATTAGGATCATTTTCCTTATAAATTGTTTTTTATTTTTACTGTTATTTTACAGGCTTTCTTGGCTACACAAGTAGTTTATCATTTTTCTTTATGGTGTTCTTTGCTCTTGTGGTAAGTTTAAAATAATAGTGTATTGCTTATCTCCTCACTAAAACTGAACTCATTGTCTTAATGCCTTTTTTTCTTTTAACTCTGTTTTGGGGAGGTATCCCATTTTATTTCAGTGTGTTATTCAAAGCACTTTTGTTTCACAAAATTATTTCCTTCATTTTATCTATTTTAAAAAGGCATGGCTGGACCAGCATTTCAAGTTCAGTATCACTTGTGGTTAATTAGAAAGGAGAGCACACCGTTCTGTTAAAACCTTAGATGGAGTGTAATTCTTTGTGTAGGTTGTATAATCACTTTATTTCTGTACAACAGTGTGTGTGGGGGGGTGGGGGTGGGGGGGAGTATTCAATTATGAGAATCAGGCTGGTTCTAATCTGTAAAATAGTTTGATACCAGTTATCTTAATTATGAAACTTTGTTCCATTAATGACACAAGAGCTTCTGGGGCTTAACTGTTGAGATCTAGTAAGAACTGGGGTGTCTGAATTGTATCTGGTCTGGTTTATTCCGCATAGTTAGGTTCTCATAAAAATACTCCTGCAAAGAAATATTTTTTTCACCTGTGTAATACGTTTTTTTTTCTTAAATTTAAAAATTAGGAAAAATATCAGATGGTAAACTTACTATTTATAAAATAATCTTTTTAAAAGATACATGCTTAAATGACTTGATTAAACTTTTAAAATCATAAGCTTCATTAAACTCGCCCTTACTAATGAGAAATGAATAAAAAAAAATGCCACCCAAAAGAGCAAGATAATACATCAGTCGTTAAATCATATTGCATAGCCAGATTTCCGTGCGGTCAAACAATCTAAGATGCATTTAACTTAGTCTAAACTGATCTTCTGGGACACAAAGATAAAACAACTTCAGATTATTTTAAAGAGTGGAAGTGACGCTGGTTTCTGTGTACAGAAACAATTATACTTTAATGAATACTTTTAAAACGAAAAATACTTAACAGTGTTTACATTTAATCATTTGTTGAATTATCAAAATTGTCTTCCCCCCTCAAAGTGTATGACTTATATCTTACAAGTAAGTGAATTGAACATACACTTTCTTTTAGACTTTTTCTTTCAGTTATAGTGAGATATAATTGCATACAGCACTGTATAAATTTAAGATGCTCAGCATAATGTCTTGACTTACATATATTGTAAGATGATTACCACAATAAGTTTAGTTAGCATCCATGAACACACACTTTTTAGACCCCACAATGAAGAGGGAAACAATAAATATTCTCATCATAATTTGATTGTTGAGAAGCATCTACGTTGTTAGGAGTAGCCTGTGTATGCAAATAAACATATGGATATTAAGAGAGAATTAACATAGATAACAATGAATTTTCCCTCACAGATGATTGGCGTCCCAAACTTTGCATCGGTAGGATTCGTTTGATTTTTCTAGCCAGTAGTTTGAAGCAGGTGAAATGTATTCATATGATATGTCTGTTGTACATAGTTTTCACAGTACTCATTTGTCATTGCAGATACTCTTTAATTTGATGCAGGTTTCTAGTGTAGCAGTCATATGGAAAAATACCCTTATTCTGCATTTACTGTACTGCTTTATAAACCATCTGCTCAGATTTTTCCTTGTGAGCACAATTACAATTTGGTCTACAATGGGATGATGAAGACACTGTATTTTTTAAGAAATACCCTTTTTAATTGGCATATTTATTTTAGAGTCTCTAAGTATTAGGTTTTGGATACATAGTGGTTAGGGAAAAGGCACATGTATATAATTCCCCCCAAATTTTTAAAAATGCCAATTTTTCATTAATTGTTTTTGTCTGTATGTGTTTGCAAATCTGTATACCATTTATATTACACTAAAAAAATCAAGAAAACACTTATCCTCTTAAATTACACTCTACAAAAAAGCAGATCAAAACCTATAATTTTATCTGTTGTCCCACATCCATATTTTTCATAAAAATTTTAACAAAATTTTGCTCCCTCTGAAATACCTAAAAATTTTAAAAATATTTATTTTAGCAGTGGCTTAGAATGACAGTAACCAGATGGATTACCTTTTTTGGTCCATTTTAGAACACAAATGTATTTCCAGTCTTTCTAAAAGTTCTGTCTGGAGTACAGATTAGTATTCTAAGAAATATTTTAATAAGTGGTAAATCAAAATAGTGAACTATTTGAAAGGATTTTAGTCAGATGCTTTCCTTCTGCTGAGCACTGTGTTAGGCATGTGGGAGTTTAACCTGGACACAGCTCTAAGGGTCAGTCAATTATGTAGATGAGATAAGATAAATTTATTAGAAAACAAGTAGATAGAGAACAATATAGGCAATACATAAGGATTGATTTATTTGCTTCAGAGTAAGAATTGCAAGAGTTAAAGTTCACTGAGAGCTAGAGTATAGAAGGATGTGGGAGGAAATAAGTGAGCTGAGCACTGAAAGAGGGGGAAGACTGGGAGAAGAGTGAAAGGGGCCTTCTGTGCAATGGAAAGTATTTTAAATACTTGGTCATCTTTCCCCTGCCTTTTTAACTCCTGGGATTATCTCCTGACCATGTTCTGTCTTCGCTGAGCAAGGACTGCCTGTCACTCTTGGCTGTTGGGTATTTCCCCATCCCTGCCCTTCCTTCTGGTGTGTAGGACATCACTTCTAACAACCCCAGCCCACTGCGCAGGCCTGGGGTTGGGATGGATCTCTGCAGAGGTATTAGCTCTAGTAACTAATTTTATGTTAATGTAAAATCAGGTTGCTAATGATATTTTCTAACTAATGAAAAAATAATGATTATATTGCATTTTGGAACATTGCTTTCAATATTTTGAATTGCAAGCCTCGTGATAACAGCTGAGAAAGTAAATGAGGTAGCTCACACATCAACTTATTGCAGTACTGGTACACAACAAATGCACCATAATGGTTGTTGTTGCCACCACCACCACTGGAGCAGGGCTAAAGAGACTAGCTAGCTTCTACCCTACCCATCCTTACCCTTTTAAACATACCAAGAAAAAGATGGTGAGATTGTTGCTTTTGATTTTTTTCTTCTCTCTTGGTAAGTTGACCATTCATTTTTATTACATATGGAAAACATATCTGGAAATGTCAAAGCAATTTTCCTAGTTTACCCTTATAATTCTCCCCCTCCCACCCCCTTGGGGAGGGTTTTAATTAAGAGTCATTCTTTAGTTTACTCATTAACTTAATCCTAAAGGTATATGTTTTCCTTAGATTCGTTTTATCACTATATAAAATCTTGGTTGAATTAGTTTAAATCCAAAGCTAGATAAATACCAAATAGGAATAGGAATAGGAGCAGTATTTACTTATTGGTCTCCTGCAAAGGACAAACGCTCCCTTTATTCTCCCTTGCCCCTTTGTATGCTGGGTTTCAGCCTAGAGCAAATATTTACAGAGTAATTATGTGCCCTGAAACAAGGGCAACAATGGCAATGTTGACACAACCACAACCTTAGGTCTAGGAACAGGATGGCCACAATTAAGAGTAAAATCCTGAGGGGGAAAAAAGAAAGAAAGAAAGAAAAGTAAAATTATGAAACATTTTTATGGATTATTTCTGGAAATTAGCATCCCTCTGGATTTTTTATTTTTATTTTTTAAATTTAAATTTTAACAGCTGGAATTCCCTAGCTCTGTGCTTTTATTCTTAGCCAGTTTTTTTCCACATTCGCTGAAAGTAATATAAGTTTGAAAAAAGCAAGGAGGGATAGTACTTATATATCAGAAATCTCCAAGTTCACCCTTTGCATAAATTCTCTATTCACTTCTGCCTGTGGCCATTTCTAAAACAGCTGTTACTATTTCTCCATCTGCCACTGATGCCAGGTCCACAAATAACCGTATTCTTGTACCATTGTCACTAAAAACATTGTGTTCCCATTTTAAGTTGCGCTTTTTTTAAATGCCTTGATGCTATTGGAGTTTTGAAAGTTTACTTGAGAGTACTCTGAGTCTTTAATGAGGGAGATCCCCACTACACGGATAGGCAGCTCCCAACCTCACCCTCATCATAGGTGGCCCCACCCTAAGGGAAAATTATACTATCCAAGAATCTTCTGTTGGCTAGGATATGGTTTGGCATGGTGTTAGATTAATTGAAATAATGCTGACCTATTTGAAATAATTTCTTTTCATGAATTTTAGAAGAAATAATCTGATTGTTGATTCTACTTATTCTTACAGATAGTCATTAAAAAATGGTCCATCCCTTGTCCTCTGACATTAAATTGTATAGAGCAGTACTTCCAGGTAATATTTTATATTTTCTTTTTAGTTTCTTTCTTTTTATTTTAAGCTAAAAAGAAAAAATCAGGCTAATATCTTTTTTTCCCTAATGGAAAAGTAATGACTAGTTTGCATTTTGGAACTTTATTTTGAAATGTTTTTATTTGAAAGCCTAGTTATAATAAATTCATCATATTTGTTGATGCTTTCTGACTTTTAATGACTGTTGGTTTCTCTTTTTCCCCTCAATCCTCTTAAACAGATTTCAAATGCTACAGATGATTGTAAACCAAAGCTCTTTCATTTCTCCAAAGAGGTGTGTAAGTTATTAACAGATACTTTGGTTGATTTTTCACATTTCAAGTTTTAAGAGATTTGTGTAGCAGGGTCTCTTAGGTCTTTGTACCTGTAACTAATTAATTTTCATGAAAGTGCTAAGTATAGGGTTGCCTACCAGAAGAATAATATTATTTAACACAGGGTGGCCTATTATGAAACAGCCACCTTTTTTTGGCATGCCTTTAAATGGAGCCTGTTTTAAATGGGCAACTGCCTAAAAGAACAGATTTACTAAAAGTCTGGTCTGGCCAATAAGGTCCTCTGTGGATACAGACTTCCTGTTGCCCTCTGGACTTGTAAAGCTAAATAGCCAATTACATAAAAAACTCCTCCCTCGTGAGTAAAACCTTGGTCTGCAGCTAAACAGCCTCATCATTGGACCAGCAATTGAACACTGCCAGTAGGTCTTCTGGCAGACATTCCACAGTTGAAATTTATGATGCCTTCAGTGGAGACTGGAAAACCAGGTCCCCTTGCTTTCTCTGAGAGCCTCCGATACTGACAATGCCTGCAAGAGCCCTTGGCACCTACAGGGGAGACGGGTGATCTCTAGCATTCTGGAAGAGCTTAGTCTTCCCTGTGGCTATAAGTTGTTTTTTAATCTACACTTTTAGATTCTCCTGAAATTCAGGTTCCAGATGCTAGAAACCCCCCACTCATGTACAACTCTGTCAGTGTACTATTTCAGTGCAGTAACTCCTCCATGCAGAACTTTCCCTTTTATCCGCAATTTTTACACGAGAAATGTCTCTCTGGCCCCCCAAGGGAGGTTACCACATCTTATGTGGTAAAGGCCCCTGTGTGCCTTAAAGATCTAGGTCGGGTAATTGACAAGCCAGGAAATTGAGCAATATATGAAAGAGAATTTGTGAATTAAAGTCTCATTCCCCTAATCCAGTCTCAGGAAACACTACAGCTTTCCTTCCTCTCAATTCCCTTCAAATATTTGAGGAGGCATTATGTCCCAAGATAGGTCTTCAGTCATCTGGAACTTCTTTTGCTGAAGAGCCTGAAGTTAGTAAGGGGAAAATTATTTTAAAGTAGAGAAAAGAAAGTAAATCATCACCATCATTTTGTAGAGACAGTATTTTCATTTAGCTGGTAACTTTTGTTTGCTTTGTAATGACCTGTGGCTCTTAAATATTCTGATATTTTTAAAGTTATATTTGTGTATTCCAGTGGATCTCCAAAAATTTTCCTGTCTAGAATAAATCATGTTCATTCCCATTGAAAGAGAACATAGGCAAAGATGCTGAGGTGTGATTAATATTTGCAATATTCCCTTAGATTAAATTGGTGATATTACCTTGGATTGAGTTGGTAAAAGCAGGTTCAAAAGCATTAATGATTATTTCTGCTTACAGAAGAAAGTTGTATTTAAATTTTCTAATGCATACATTAGAATTAAGATTATTTCTAAATGTTATTATTTTGAATCTTACCTAAATATTACTTATTTCACATAAGTTATTTTTATCTTACCCAAATGATACACGAGCAACAGCAGTTGTAGTAAAAGTAACATGATATAGAAGCCAGCCAAGAAATATCTGGCTAGTACAAGCATTCCATCTACCAGAGAAAAGATTTGCTGATGACCATAATTGTGTCTCTCTTAAAACAAAACAAAACAAAAAAACACAATCTTATTTTATAGAGACAATTTATGAAAAATGAAGTGAATGTAACCAAATTGATTTTTTTTTTTAGAACTAAGCTTATTGTCAAATGAAGTAGTGGTTTCGACAGAGTAGCATTTAGTAATTTTGTCCTTTTTTTCTTTTCAGAGTGCTTATGCGATACCAACCATGGCTTTTTCATTTCTCTGCCATACCTCAGTATTGCCCATATACTGTGAACTTCACAGGTACCATAGGATCCTGGATTCTTTTAAATGTATTAAATATGATCTTTTACTTCTAGGCCTTTCAGGTTGAATGACATTCTCCTTTATGAATTCTTTCTTCCCATCACGGGATTCTAAGTGTTAGTTTAAAACAAAATGAAACAACCGAGAGTTAGTTTTGTCCAAATTGAGAATGTTTCCTGGAAGCATAATCTTTGTGTGGTAATTTTAAATCAGGAATTCTAGTGTATAATCACTAATGAATTAGGTCTTAAATTAAGGAACCCTTTTGTCTAGCTTGGGAGAGTGTTTCTATAGATATAAATCATTTCACTGATTCTACTTTTGCCATTTTTGTCTTTTAGCCCTTCAAAGAAAAGAATGCAGAATGTAACCAATACCGCAATTGCTTTAAGTTTCCTCATTTATTTTATATCGGCACTCTTTGGGTACCTCACTTTTTATGGTAAGTATATCATTTAATTGTAGGTGAAAAAATAGATTGTCCTCTCGTTCAGCGGTTGCCAACCGGTGGTCCATGGACCACTGGTGGTCCATGAGGTCCAAAAGGTTAGTGACCGCTGCTCTAGTTGATCTCACACTTGAATGTGAACTTTGTTTCTGCCTTTCATTAGTAAGCTAATTTATTCAGGGTACCAGAATTCACTGTAGTACTGTGTGGCTTTATGGGCCCTAAAGAATTGATTTTCTTTCTCTTATAAAGAATCAGGTTCAGGGTTAATAACTTTATATGAAAATTTTCTTAAACACTGAATAAAACCTTGGGATTAATGTCTTTCTTCAAGAAAAATTGTACAATAATGATTTATTTAAAAAATATTTTAGAATCTTATTTTCGATACATGAGACTAGTTCAGCAGTTTGGGAGAATCAGCTATTTTAACTGCAGAAGAACAAATTGAGAAGGGAAAGGGTTTTACACTGAACTATAGTTGTATGCTTACATGTCAGATATTTCTGCCTTCAGCCTCAAGTCATATGACTCAGGACATTCATAATTTTTAAAAGGATTCTTTTAAATTCATAAATTAAATACTTCTTGTATTTATTTTTGAAAAATTGCCTGCTTGGTATGTGTTTTTTTCTCTTCTGATGAGAACCTCAAGAAAAAGTAAAACTTAAAAGTCTAGAATAAAATCTTAAAATCTGTAAGCTCTCTAATTTGCAAACATGCTTCTTGTTTAATTTGCGAACAAACACATTATAACAAATTATACTTAGTTTGTCAGACACTTCAGTACACTTCTCAGTTTATGAATGCTTTTGTAACAACTCTCCAAGTAAATGACTGTTATTACTTTGGTGATAGTTAGCTGTTATGACTGATTTCACAGTTGATAGCCTTGTGTGCGTGCTTCAGGTTTTAGCCATCCATGATGACTTGTAATGGGCCTTTGCTTCTCTCTCAGAGTTTGTCCACATCTGACAAGATTTTGGAGAACATTTACTTGCATAGCTACCTTTCCTAAGCCTGGTGGAAAGAGTATGGATTTCTAAATCCAACAAATATTATCTAAATGACTATTCTGCTCTAACTAGCTACGTGACCTTGAGCAGGGTACTTCATCTTACAGTATCTTATCTCCTTATCCTGTGGTCGGCAAACTGGGGCTCGAGAGCCACATGCGGCTCTTTGGCCCCTTGAGTGTGGCTCTTCCTAAGCCTTAGGAGTACCCTAATTAAGTTAATAACAGTGTAACTACCTATATAGTTTAAGTTTAAAACATTTGGCTCTCAAAAAGAAATTTCAATCGTTGTACTGTTGATATTTGGCTCTGTTGACTAATGAGTTTGCTGACCACGGTCCTAAGGAATTGCAGCAATTTCTCGGCACTGATTGTGTATATACAGAGAGAAGTAGGAATGGAAAATTATTACCAGTTACCAAGGACGATGCTCCTGTTGGCCAAGAGCAAATGAAGGTCGTGAAAGATTACATCTGAGAATCTGGAGCCATCATGGACACAGCAAGGCTGGGAGTTCCAGCTGCCAGTTGTTTACTGTGTCTCTTTCTGCCTAACCCCCCTGGCTGGC